AGACAAAAAACTGTGAGTTCAGCTTCTTTTATTATAAGGGTTTAAAATTACATCACCCATCTATTTGACTGGAAAAAAGACAGTTACAGCTCTCATACGACACCCACCTTTTGAATGTACCTTATGAAATACGAAAGTTATGAAGTAAAGAATATGATGAAGTGTGTTTTGGAACCACCGGTGGTTCCACGAAGTTAAGAGGTAAATACTACACATTTAAAAGGTGCTTCTGGCTCTTTTAGCTGGACTAGCCTTGAAAGCCTTTTTAAAAGACCATCTGAGAAACTAGGAAAATAAACATTTGCTTACATAAAGACTGAGGCAAAGATCTGCCAAGCATTTCTCTAAATAATGCAGATTTCTAAACAAACACGGCCAGTTAGGCGGAACTGATTAAGAATGAGTCAATAGCAAGAAAAAAAAAAAAATTTCCCCAGAATGGTTAGCTTTTCATCTGTTTGCAGTAACGTGTTCCATGTTTGCATTTATGGCTGCAATCTTCACTTAACAAGCGACAGCGGCAGATACGCATTAAAGATTTATTGTCAAAGGAAAATAGACCACAAAAACTTTGCTTCTACCAAAAAAGTCGCCGATATTCTCAAAAATTTTGTAGCAACAGAGCTTTTAAAAAACGAGAGACTCATTGGCTCCGAGTTACTCACTGGCCCCGTCTTCTGGACAAAAATGACGGGCAGCTCTAATCATCATAACTTTGCGAGTAGAAATAATGTCAATTTTACAGCTCTGTTTATGAAATAAACACTATAAATGAAGTGCTGTGAGTTCCTCAGCATACAGTAGACAGCATGTAATGCCATCTGTCTTAAAGATCAATAGTGAAGCAGCCTGCCTTCTGATATGAGAGGTAACAAGATTGTAAAGTGACTTGACAAGACCGAGTGCTCTAGATTGTGGTTTAAGATTCTGCTCAAATGGCAATTCTCCAAGAACCATTCTGTGGGAGGCAAAGTAAATAAGTTGTCATCAATAATAGACAGCGAGTGTTCAGCTCCGGCTGGTTCCTATCCTCCAGACATGCTCGGCGGCCTCCGCGGGCTCAGATTCACTGTCTTGACTAATAGCTTTTGATAGGCCTTTGCAATAATTACCGAGGGGCCCTTATCGCAAACTTATGCGATGCATATTTCATGTCATGGCTGCACGTTGGCAGCCAATCTCTGAAAGCATGATTGGAAACAAATTTGCCCCAGTTACAAAAAAAAGGGGGGGGGGGTGTACAAAGCGCAATCGTGCTACTGGATTCTTTAAAACACTGAATCGAAAAGGACAGCACGGAAAGATCAGCCAAATTCAAAAGCCTACAGCTTTACGACTGAGATTGCGCATCTCTGCGCCACTTTCCCTGAAGCGGCTGCGCTGAAACAACAGTACATTAGACAGCACGAGAAAACCTGTCCATCCAAAAAGTCGTGTAGTCTAATTTAGAGCTTATGTCTTTACTTCATGTCCCAACACGGCCTACAAAGGGCTGCAACGAAGTACGTAGGCGTCAAGGATTAGGCTGTCTAGCCTAGACCTCATTTAAGAATTGACATGTGCAAAACATACTGCTTCATATATGCATATCCAAAAACATCCAGACACCCAATAAATAAAACAGGAGCAGCCACATATGAGCCTGAGGTCACCATGTCAAATGCCAAGCGTCAGCCAGTGGGGTATAAAGCCCCCCAGCGTTGGGCTGTGGAGCGGCAGAACTGTGTTCTCTGGAGGAATGGAGCTCCATCCAATAGCTGACCTTACTAATCCTCTTGTGGCTTAATGCAGTGAAACCCTCACAACAATGTTCCAACATCCAGTGTAAAGCCTTCCCAGAAGAGTAAAGGCTGTTACTGTAGCAAATGAGGACAAACTCCCCATCAATACCCTTCATTTTAGAAGAAACGCTGGATAAGCAGGTGTCCACAAACTTTGACATACTCCACTGTAGGAGCACAAGACTGCAAGCAGCAACTCAATGTCATGTGCCATCAACCCTAATATAGCTCTCTGCCCATTTTGGAGAGCTACACTGGTCTTGGATCAATACAGGCTACTACAAAAACAAAATGACGTGAACGTCTGCTTGAAAAAAGTCCCATGAGAGGCTCCAACATTGACAGACACTGTAAAACACGAAGCTACTGAACCCACAAAGTCAGCAACAAGGACACTTGTTAGATTTCACACAGTCATGCTGAAAAAAAGAGGAATTCCACTGACTTTTTCCAAAACTTCTGCAAATTTTAGTTGTTAAGACAGTCATTCAGAGTGGTTTGGTGTGAAATGTTCCTTTTTAGGGAAACTTGCAGAGTCAGAACTGTTCACAACAGTGGTGATAGGAACCAAATGTCCAAAACAAAGTTATTACAGGAAATGTTTAAAAATATGCTGCCCTATGCTTGTACATAGCTTCATGGAATTTCTGCGATAAGGCTGTGGAGAACATTTTTAAAAACACATTACTAGCAGAGAGACATGCAACAAATAAGGCAAATGGCAGCCAAAAAAAACTTTTTTCAGGTCTACCACTATTGTACTGTCACCAACATTACAAATAAGACTAACATGTAGGGTCACAGGTCATTTTGGAGAGCAACTAAAGTGGATGTATTTGGTTCCCGTCACCACCATTGCAATGAACCCCGAACTCAGACGGCTTGAAGGATTTGGTTTGATTGAATAAAGTGAATATGAATTAAAATGACCATTCGTTTCGCCTCATTTTAAAACAGGCACTGTCACGTTCGTGTGGGTCTATCAGAAGTGAACAGCGGAGACTCTGAGGGTCAGAACCTTATGTCTTAATCAAGCAACTACAACAACTTTAGGCCACTTAAGATTTCACGTTAAAATGCCAACGATCACACAGTTGACAGAGGAAAAAACTCAAATCATCCATTTTTCTGCATTAAATGAAGACTCATACTCATCGTGGATTTACACGAAATAGCCCAGAGACACGGTGCCTGGACTAATAAGCTAAAATGAAGCACAAAACAAAATTTTTCAGCAGTTAATCCCTGTCGAACCTACACAACATTTGTTTTCTATAATTTAGACACATCTATATAATCTGTCCTCCTCTATCGACATGAAGACTGACTCAGTGATCTAACAGGCAGTAAAAATTTCATACAAGTTATATAAACACAGCTACTACCTATAACGTTACATAAAGGGGAACTCCACCGATTTTTCAAAACTTCTGCATAATGAAATAGTTAGCATAACAATGAACCAGAGTGGTTTGCTTTCCCTCACAGAATGTTTTTACATGAAATGGCTCTGAATATGCTGCTGAATGTGATGTCTGAGACATTGGCTAACAATAGTTTTGTGATAAAGTTTTTGGTCTAAAACTTATTTCACTCAGGTTATTTTAATCAACTTATGGTGTTAGGATTCATGAAGGCAGTTCCAAGGCAAAATAGTCCCCAATGAAAACTTATTTCCACACTGACCACTATTTCACTACCAGCGTTAAACCTAAACACTCAGAAGACACGTGTAGACTCACTGGTGGTTTTGGATAGTAAATAAAATGGCTATTTTTGCGTTGTAGACATGGGAACCAGGGGTCACCATCACCACCACTGTAAAGAGTTCTGAGTCTCTACAATCAACTATTTCACACCAAAACACTCTGAATGACTTTGTTGACATCTTGACGGTTTTATATCGCAGCGATTCTGAAAAATCAGTGAAGTGCCCTTTGAAAACAAAAGCACAGGGACACTTCTGCACGAATCGACTCGTTTTAACCGGACAGAGTTCGTGTGTTATGACAGCTACGTGCTATCTGGCTAGTTAGCTAGCTTAGTTAACTTCACTCAACTTCATTACGGGGGAAAAGCAAGCGAGCTAAAGTTTATTACAGATAACCAAGATAGACGACTGAAAATACAGCAGCCCTAGTGTTGACACTGAGTTATAAGGGTTAAATACAGCAGTTTAAAAATAACTCAAACAAAACTCTGCCCTGACTCTACCCTGACAAAAGACAATGAGTTAGCTACCGTTAGCAAACACGTCAACCCGTTTTCTCCCCCTCAGAAAATCCCCGTCTGACTCCTCAAAGCATTCACAACTGAACAAACGCACTGCTTTGGTGTTTATCTAAAGCAAAACCGACTCCCCAACTATTCAGCGCTCAAAAAGCAGCAGTTTTGGCGTTAGCCGGATCAGTTAGCTCCTTAAACAGAGCTGAGACGTTGAGCTCGCAAACAAGCGCCGTGCTAGCCAGCAAACCCGGCTAATAAACACAAAAAATAAACAAGATAATAAACTTTTCTCTTCCTCAACAAAACACTGTCTACATAACTCACAGAACACCGTCGAAGCAGCTATGGCTAACTGGCTAATAGCATGTTTCAGACGAGGCTGAAGTTCCCATTCGTAGAATTTCCCCGTTCCACCTTAAACGCTGCAGCGGTTACGTTCTAGCGCCCGAGGCGCCAGAACGTAACCGCTGCAGCATTTAAGGTGGAACGGACAAATTCGGAAAAAAGAAGCTAACTTCAGCCTGGTTATGTTTCACTGGGGGTGCTATTAACCGTCACCACAGCGCCACCAACGTAGAAACAACCGCACTTCATCGCCCCCCTCCGTCCTCCCTCCCTCCCCCGAAAAAATAATTCAGCCATAACACAATCATAAACATCCATTACGGGCGACAAAGTTAACATCTCGTCAGGTGAACGTCTTCGCGTAGCACCAAACCTGCTTTAAAAAAGACACAAAATACGCCCAAACTGGCGGCTTTTTCCCCCCGCGGCGGCTGATCGATGGGAATTGAACAAAGAGGATCAATTTCCAATCGAGAGAGAGAGAGACGCTTTAATCGATGCGCGAAGAGGTCGCCGAAAAGCCGGGGATCCCTCCTCCCTCCCCCTGCCAAAACAGAGCCGAAAAGCCCTGCAGAAGAGCACCGGAGCGAGCCCCGCGACCGAGGCGCCGCGGAGCGCCGAGACAAGGCGGAGAGGAGAAAGGCTAACCTGCAGCTGCTGCAAATCAAAGCGCCTCCAATATTGAAACATCGATCCCGCATTGGCCGCCATCTTGAGACATATTGAGACGGAGTGAGAGGCTGATAGAGAGAGAGAGAGACGGAGAGAGGGAGAGAGAGAGAGAGCGAGAGAGAGAGAGAGAGGGGCTGGCTGGAGTAGTTTGGGGAGGGAAGCGGCGAAAACACGGAGCGGAGTTATTGACCACCGCCTTCGCTTATTGAACAGCGACGCGGAATGGAGTTAGCTATCGAACGCCGGAGCTGCTTATACTGTATCGAAGCGGAGTTTATTGAACGCGGCCCGGCGATCAGTTTAACGCGGAAAATGCGGACTGGACTTTTTGTTTTGTTTGTTTTTTTTTTTGCAGGCTCGAAGAGAAATCATGCTTCACACAAATGTGAGTACTTTAAAGAGGGATCATACAGAATCATTTGTTTTTGATACGGTATCGATCGTCTTGCGTTGTTTGATTACTGTGCTTTGCATCTTTACACATTACTCGTCCGTATTCTCTCATTCTGTATTCATGTCCATATCCTGATTTTTTTGCAGAATAAATGTTTTTTTTAGATCTTTTGACAGCTGATCGTTAACGCCTCAATTCAATATCGACATATATTTCGACAGAGTTGCTCCTCCTCACCAGTTCTGTTTATTCTTCTTTTCTTCTTCTTTTTTTCTTCTTTTCTTTTCTTTTTTTCTCTTTCTGTTGATTTGCTGATTTTGTATTCACTTCCATGCGCGGACATTATAACTTGTCAATATCAATTACCATCCTGTAAAGAATAAATTAAATATGTATTTTTTCTTCTTTGTAGCAAGTTTTCATTACTCATTCTTCACATCTTTTAAAATACGGGCTGCTTTTGTGTCTTTCTGTCATTCTATTCATTTATTTCTTCATTCCTTCATTTATTGATTGGACTGTGACGACTTTTTTGAGAATTTCGATCAGATGGTTTGATCGCAATGCCGGCCGCGAAAGCGAGCTGATGGTGCCCCCACAGGCGGAGAGGAGAACTGCAGGCAGTTTCTTGTACACGTTTTAACCTCGTTAAAGCTCTCAAAAAAGGATTCAGTTATTCTACTCAAAGCATATGGAAATTGCCGTGAATTGTGAATTGCTTTAATAAAATAAAATAAAAGAAAAAGTGATCATTTGTTGCTCTTGTGAAAGTGAAATGTATTATTTTATTTGATCTTAACTCCATTTATATGCAGGCCTGTTATATTGCAGGCCCACTATATAGGTGTACAGTTACAATAAGCCCATCTATTGTCATGCACAATGTCAGCCACCCTCTATCCCATTCATCATTGGTCAGTTTCTGACCTCAGGACCACTGCTGACCCAATGTTATAAGAGTAGCAAACTGTGCTTAGTGGTTACTGTGTTTACTGAGCTACAAGGTAAGAGTTTCTGATGACCAGTAAGTGCAGATGTGCTTGGTACTTGCTGGTGTACCAGCAATGCAGGCTCTCTGTTAGCAAGAGGATAGTGGGCCACTGTTGGCCCACTGATGGCAAAGCTGGTGGTCCACCGGCGGTTTGCTCAGAGTTTTCCGGGCGGCCCACCAGCGGTTAAGCAGAATATTAGCCAAAATTCCACTTATTTTCACTCATTTTCTGCTCACAGTCCAATTTACTTAGTTTTCTAGTTATACTTCCTAAATGAGTTTAATAAATAATTTTAATTTAGCAACAACATTTTCTATACAGTCACTTTATATTAAGCCTAGTCATTTTTTTCTCTTAGTTGTTTGAAATATTTGTCTCAGTTTATTTTCTAAAATAAGAGTCTGTGTACATTTAAAATCTTTGAGGAGATTTAAAAGCTACACACTTAAAAAAGATGGTTCTTCCCGGGTTTTTTAGTAAAGAAAATGGTTCTATATAAAACCATGAACACTCAAAGAATCCTTTTCATGAATAAAGGGTTCTTTGCATTGTGAAATGGTCCTATGTAGCACCAAATTGGGTTCTTCTATTGTTACAATGACAAGTATGTTACAACAGAAGAACCTGTTTTGATGCTATATAGAAGAACCATCATTTTAAGTGGGTTGTTAAAGCTTGTATGCAGGACAATAATCTGGGTGGACCAGTAGTGGCAAACGGTCAGCGGGGTGCTGACCATATCAAGCCGGTGAACCGATGTATGTTTGCTATCCGGGCTGTTCAGGTTTTAAAGGTACACTTCAGTCAGAATGAAAAATGTAACCATCACTACGTCTGTTGTAAACGTACTAATTCACATCCTCCAGTGGTGCCGCAGTCGTCTTTAGAGTGAGTTAAAGTCTAAGAGAACTCATTCTGATGATGTATCTTGAAGGTGGGAGGAACTTTAGGAAGGCTGAACTGCTTTGGGGTGTATATTTGGGGATGGGCTGTTTTAAATTGTTTTTTTTATTAGCTGGTGAATTCAGAAGATAGGCGGATAGCTAGCGCTAGCATTAGCAAGCACAATATGTGATTGCAACTCTATAACTGTACTAACTGCCTTCAAATCATTACAAATTAGAGAATTGATTACTCAAACGTCAGAAATGACTTATCAGATGAGGAGGACAACAAGCGAAACCCTTTGGTTAGCAAGGTCACTATTAGTTAATTAGATACCTCAGTTTGGCTCGTCTGGCAAAAAACTGTCTCTGGTGTCCATTTTGTATGGAGCCCTGCTGATGACATCCCATATAAATAAAAACAATGCGTGGCCATGACTTAGTAGGGCATGGGAATGAGATAATTAACTTGTGGCCATGACTTAGTAAGGCGTGGGAACAAGATCATACCTTACTAAGTCGGGGCCACACTTTAGGATCTCGTTCCCATGCCTCACTAAGTCGCGGCCATGACTTAATTATCTTGTTCCCATGCCTTGCTAAGTTGTGACCACACATTATTTTTATTTATACAGGATGTCATTACTAATTAAGTCATGACCACGACTTAGTAAGGCATGAGAATGAGATAATTAAGTTGTGGCCATGACTTAGTAAGGCGTGGGAACAAGATCATGCCTTACTAAGTAGTGGCCATGCATTAGGATCTCGTTCCCATGCCTTACTAAGTCATGGCCATGACTTAATTATCTTTTTCCATGCCTTACTAAGTTGTGGCCACACATTATTTTTATTTTTAAGGGATGTCAGTACAAATTAAGTCATGGCCACAACATAGTAAGGCATGGGAATGAGATAATTAAGTCGTGGCCACGACTTAGTAAGGCATGAGAATGAGATCATTAAGTTGTGGCCACGACTTAGTAAGGTGTGGGAACAAGATCATGCCTTATGAAGTAGTGGCCATGCATTAGGATCTTGTTCCCACGCCTTACTAAATCATGGCTATGTTTTAGGATTTTTAGATTCTCATTCCCATGTCTTACTAAGTTGTAGCCACACATTATTTTTATTTATACAGGATGTCAGTACAAATTAAATCATGGCCACAACATAGTAAGGCATGGGAATTAGATAATTAAGTTGTGGCCACGACTTAGTAAGGTGTGGGAACAAGATCATGCCTTACGAAGAGGTGGCCACGCACTAGGATCTCTTTCCCACGGCTTACTAAGTCATGGCCATGTTTTAGGATCTTTAGGATCTCATTCTCATGCCTCACTAAGTCATGGCCACAACTTAATTATCTTGTTCCCATGCTTTACTAAGTCGTGGCCACACAGTATTTGTATTATTCGTGCTAGCTTGGTTGTATTTATTAGCCTATTGCTGGCTAGGCTAGCAGTCAGGAGTGTGTGTGTGTTGTGTATACTTCCTAAATGAGTTTAATAAATAATTTAAATTTAACAACAACATTTTCTATACAGTCACTTTATATTAAGCCTAGTCATTTTTTTCTCTTAGTTGTTTGAAATATTTGTCTCAGTTTATTTTCTAAAATAAGAGTCTGTGTGCATTTAAAATGTTTGAGGAGATTTAAAAGCTACACACTTAAAAAAGATGGTCCTTCAAGGGTTCTTTAGTAGAGAAAATGGTTCTATATAAAACCATGAACATGTGTGTGTAATGCATGCTGGGTATTGTAGTCAGAGAAAGACAGATGAACGAACATCTAAAAAACCAAGATAATATTGTGAAGTCTGTCGAACTGATGAGGAATATGAAACTGATCTACAGAACACGACAAATAACTCATTAAACTGGTTTTAGGCTGAAATACTCACAGTTTTGAATTTACAGCTACTTTTTTCACAAGTGCTGCAGTCAGAGCTAAAAATGGAACGGTTCCTTCTACACATCCATCAAGCCACACAACATTCAAGCGTCCATCGTAACGCGTTTACAGACGCAGCGAACTTTAATACTCACCATATAACTTCTAATGGAGCTCTGTTCGTATTTTTAGTCAGACTGTCAACTGTTGCTTATTACATTTTCCAGTTGATTCAGTGGAAACCCTCTGGCTCTGTTTAGTCCTGACTAACGAGTGTGGGGGCTTTCGGTGCCAAGCTTTTATGATTCAAAATTAGATTTCACTCCTTTTCAGAGCCTTTTATGTTCTAATAGTGAGTATTTATCCTTTATGGCGTCAACAGCGAACTGCAGTGTAAAAATAAACCACACACAACTAGTGTCTTCTTTCACTATTTTCTCCATTTTCTCTTTTCTTCATGTCCTATTTCTGTCCATCCTTCCATTGTTAGTTAATGAGCCAGATACAGTGCAGACATTCACAGCCCGCAAATGCATCAAACCGGCTTGTCCAAAGCTCTGGGGAGAGTGAGTTTGGCTGCGTAAAACAAGCTCGGGCCTTGTGAGATCTGAAAGCCCAGATAGCATGTTCATTATTTCAAGAGCTCGCTTATCTCGTACGATTTCCATTTGTGCAAGTGAGCCCGCTCTCGAGATCCCATGCAGGAAAACGACAGCACAGTGACACACTTCCAGCTCCCTGAAAAAAAAGGTAACCTCTGGTATCGACCAATGTAAAGTTGAAGGGGAATTCCACTGATTTTTTCCCTATTTCGGCTTAATTAAATGGTTAAGATGTGCACATTAGACTCAAAGGAAGTTTTTTTTTCAGATTTACCACTATTTTATTTCACTATCATCAACATTACAAGTAAAAAAAAAGATACGTGTAGCTTCTCTGGTGGTTTTGGATAGTAAATGAAATGGCTATATTCGTGTTGTAGTCAT